GCGAATTCCCGCAGCCACGAGGTGATGTTGCTCGCCTACAAGGGTAAGATCCCGAAGCGCATTCCCAAGATCAGGGAGCGCGTGGACGGAGGCAGCACCGTCTGGTGCGAAGTGGTGAAGAATGTGCCCGTCCTCCCCCAGAAGAGCCACGCCCTCGTGTCCAAACAGGTCCGTCAGACGAGCTTGCAGTCGATGGTCGGCACGTGCATCGCCGAGGTGGAGGCCCAGGAGCGCCAGAAAGAGGGGCTGATGGAACCCCCGCCGAACGACGACGAGGATGCCCCTTATGCTGCAACAGCGGATGATGCAACAGCTGGGACGCCCGAGAAGCAACTCGTGAACGCGGCCGTGATGAAGCGGAAGCTCTACCGCCAGCTCACGGGCACTGAGGTGCCGTGGTTCCCCCGCGACAACGCCGCCGAGTTGCTCATGGAGCTGCGCCACGAGGCGGGGAGGCCCCGGTGGGTGCACTTCGAGGCGCCTGCGGGCGGAGCGGGCATGCGCGGTTGCATTGAGAAGGGCGCCAGTGTCTTGGCGTTGTGCTACGACGATCACCATCGAGCGACTTTGATGCCGTTTCTCACGGGGCGCGCTGTCGAGGCCATGCTCAGCAGCAATACAGTGGTCTTCAGTAACGAGGCCCTGCTGCAGCGCTCTGCGCAGTTGCGCTTGACGAAGGAGGACGCGTCGAAGGAGGAAAGTCATGATCATGATCTGCGACCACCCGGTGCAAATCGTCTTCCTCAGGGTCGGAAGCTAGCTTCTGCGTGAAATCTGCCGCGGCTACCCTGCAGTGAGGGTGCAATTTCATCTTGTCCGCTGAGCCAGACATGACGTGGATGTCCTGAACGCCGATGTTCAGACTGTCAGCAACGCTGTCAAACTTGAAAACCATTGGCTTATGATTGCTGTTGGGGCACATCCTGCCGTTGGTGTCCACTTGGGGGAGGGTGAGGGGGTCGGTGATTCAGCAACCCGATGGGCGGGCGCAGGGGGGGGGGGGGGGGCGGCGGAAGGGGCCGCGGCAGTTTTTGTTCAGGGCCGCTGCAGCAGCCATCGTAGCACTTCGGGGCGTCTGCCCTGACAGCGCCTCCGTGGCGATGCAGCCAACGAACAGCGGTCGCGACAGGACCGCGGTGAAGTACTCGGCGTGGCACTTTTACATGCGTGGCACGAACGGTGCACAGAACAAAGATGTCGTCAAGAAATTGAGGGAGACCCGCAGCGAGTCCATGGCCAAGAAGCCAGGATCATCAGAGCAGCCTGTGCAGATGGAGAGGCTCACGAAGACCAAAGTGCAGATTTCGTGGCCCGCGCCATGTGTTTTCGACAACGCCGTGCGGATCTTAAGAAAGCGCTGGGCGCCAACTGGAGGGATTGCGCGACCGACCCCGCGGGGGCGGCGGGGGCCCAGGAACGAGCTGCAACAGTGGCGGGAGCAGCCGAGGGGGAATCCCTTGAAGCGGCGCTGGGGGAAGCGCCGGGGACAGAGGAGGCGCCAGCCAGCGAGCTTTGCCGAGCCAGCGAACACGCAGGTCTTTCTGCGCCATCGGCAGCTCCCGCGCTAGGGGCGTCTAGCTCGGGAGCGAAAGGCTCTCCTGGTGCAGGTGACTGTCGCAGCTCGCAGGTCCATCTGCTTTCGCTGAGGCCCGAAGCGATCACAAGTGCGTGCAGCGCCAAGGATCCGCGCGAGCACGAGGACCCGCGATGTTCGTTCGAGGTGGACTGGGGGGCGGAGCTCGGCCAGGGCACTCATGGCAAGGTCTATTTGGGCACGAAGCCCTGCCCAGGGTTAGGCGATGACGTCGTGGAGCTCTTTGCCGTAACGCTCCTGCGCGACTCGAAGGAAGATCAGGCGCATGGGTGCAATTCGGATGCCACGGGTGCGGTTGAAGAGGAGGTCAGGCGCCACGTTGCGCTGGGCTGGCACCCGAACGTTGTTCGGTTACTCGACGCGGGCCTTTTCAAGAAGTTGTTTAAGCCTAGCACTCCAACGAGAGAACTGCAACAGTTGTCAGCTGCCGCTAGCACTGTTGCAGCGCAGAGGAGGTGGACATGGGAAGCGCACGTCGGCCTCGTGTTCAACCTGTACGAGGTTGACGTGCGCCAGTTCGTTCAGAAGTCCACTTTGACGCAGGCGGGAATCCGCCACGTCCTGAACAGCGTGATCGCTGGGCGTGGCTTCCTCCACGACAAAGGCAGTGCCCATTGCGACCTCAATCCCGCCAACATCCTGATGCGAGGGTCGATGTGCATGCGCGGCTGCTTCGAGAAAGAGGCGTTGACAAAGCGGCAGATTGGCGAATGGGACCCCGTCAATCTTGCCATACAGAGCAGGCTGGAGTTCCAGTGCCAGAGCCCGAGGTGCTTCGAGGTGCTCGGGTCGATCACAAAGTATGTTAGAGCACAATACGAGTTCTTACGTAGCATGCTAGAGCAGAAATTCAGCTCTAACATAGCATATTAGAGCACAAATTGTGGTTTAGCATAGCATGTTAGATCACATGTGCGATCTAACACAGCATGTTAGATCACAAATTGTGATATAACGTGGCATGTTCGATCACATTTGTGATATAACATAGCATGTTAGAGCACGCAGTGGGATCTAACACGGCATGCTAGATCGCATTTGTGATCGAACATCGCATGTTCGATCACAAAGTGTGATCTAACATGGCATGTTAGATCACATGTGCGATTTAACACAGCATGTTAAATTACAAAGTGTGTTCTATCATGACATGTTAGATCACATTTGTGATCTAACATCGCCTGTTAGATCACAAAGTGTGATCTAACATATCATGTTAGATCACAAGTTGTGATCTAACGTAGCATGTTAGATCATAGTTATGGTCTAACATAGCTATACGGAGCATGTTTGATCAGAAATTGAGCTCTATCATAGACTGTGCGAACTCACATCTCAGTTCTACTCAGGGCGGTGTCTACCCTTCCCCCATGAGGCCGTCGTCCTGTCGCAACTCTCTTCCCTCCCCCCTGGAGGTCGCCGTCGCTGCCCTCTCCTCCGTCCGCCTCTCTCCGCAGGTGGTGCTCGGCGATCTCGGCTGCGTGGGGCCGACGGACCCCCGCCACAGGTTGGTGAAGAAGCTGCGCCCCAGCGACAGCAACGCCGACGTCGGTGCAACCACGCCCCAGCACAGGCCGCCAGATGTCCTCTTGGGGAACCTGCGCTTCCAGGAAGACTTGGACATGTGGTCCCACGTGTGCGCGGCCGCGGAGTTGTACTCGCGCCGGCCGTTGATCTGCGCGTCAGCTGAAGAGACCCGCGTGAGCGGCGAAAGGAGGTCACTGGTACAGACTTCATCGATGCCATCAGGAAGGGCGCGGGGCTGCCTGGCCAGGAGGCAGCGGGAGACTTCCACTCAGCATCGAAGGGGGTCCCACTCAACAGCGATGTGCCTGGCGTCGAGACCGCAGCCTCGTTTCTGGATTCCTTCCTTTTCTTTGAGAGCTGGTTCGGTCAGAAGGGCGCGGCCTGGATAGCGGCTGAAACAGCGAAAGAGAAGAGCGCCCCGAAACGCTACGAAGGCTTCCATGCATCGGCAGGCTTCCAAGGCTGCCCCGCAGGCCTCATGTGGCTGTTTGAAGTGGTAGCCAGGCCATAGACTGACCCTCAGACAGGCAAGGCTGTCTGGCTTCATGCAGCCGCCTGGCAAGCTGCAGGTCACCGTGAACACGGAGCGGGGCAAGAACGGCACGGGAACGATAGCGGAGACAGACCTCGACCCAGACTTGCTGCATTTTTTGCAACACGACCCTTGCTGGGACGGCCTGGCCAAGGGGCGCGTGGACCCGGGGGCAACCCACTCCAGATGCGTTCGGGGGGACGAGGCGAAAAAAGGGTTAAAACAAAAACCGAGATCGCAGGCGTCGCGGACGAGAAGAACCCCCCGAAGTGCTGCAGCCTGAACAGGGACAAGAAGTTGGAGATGATCCCGTCCGAGCGCTTCGCCGCTGTCGTGCGAGCGCTGAAGAACAAGTGGCGCCTTTGGCTGCAACAGCTGGGAGACCAAATGCGCCTGGCGGTCGCCCTCGACAACATGCCAGAAGACCTCGCCCAGCTGAACGGGAAGCCCATCGTGGAAGAGGACTTCGCCGACAACGCTTTCGCGCACGCGTCGATCCAGCTCGTGGAACCAGGCGCGCGGGACGATGGATGGCGCACAGACGGCGGCTGCTCGCTGCCGCATGCGGCCGTCTCCCTGTGGGGGACACGCACCGTGCTAGTGGAGAATGAAGACAAGCAGCAATTCAACCTCGAGCAAAAGCCCGGGTCCTTCTACGTGGGAACGTTCGCCGCCCTGCATCACAATGTGCACCGCCACGAGCGCTGCGATCACACATTCTCAACGAGTACCTCAAGCAGCAGCCCGAAGGAAAGCGCGACCTGCTGATCGCCGCGATGATCCGCTCCGACGTGTTTCGGGAGATCAGGGCGCGGAGGATCGACGCCACGCCTGGCCCTGTCGAGTTCTTCAACGTCGTGAACCACGTTGTGGCCGAGCACTTGGCCAATGTCCCCGCGGCGCCCCCTGACCTCGCGGATGTGCTCGACGAAGTAAGGCGGACCAGCGTGCCGCAGGACATCGCGTCAACGCCCATAAGTCGCCGCAGGAAAGCCGCCCCAACGCCACTCAGTGCCGCGTCCGACTAACTAGCCACCGATGGCGGATCCTCATCATCATCACCATCATCATTAGGATCATCATCATTATCACCATCATCATCCCCATGATCGTCATCGTGAGGGTCGTCATCATGAGGATCATCCCCATCATCATCATCATCGTCATCCCCATCATCATGGCCAGTCATGGCGATGATGAGGATCATGATGATGATGATGGTGATGGTGATGGTGATGATGATGATGGTGATGGTGGTGATGATGATGATGGGGATGATGATGATGACGACGCTGAAAAAGCGAGTGAGTCAGTTGAGCTCCAAAAGCCCGCCCTAAAGACAGCCAGGTGGGAGTGTCGGACCACCTCGACGTTTTCAACTTGGCGAGCGGGGAGATTGGGTACCGCAAGCCCCAGCTGATCGGGCGCTACTGGGACGACATGAGCGCGGAGCAGCAGCACAACAACCGCAATATCCCTCTGGAGGGGAGCCAGGCCTTCGTGGGCGAGGTTCGGGCGCCTTTTATGGTGCGCCCGGAGCTGCGCGAGACGGTCTCGAGGGAGTTGGAGCGTATGTCCAGCATCAAGAAGAACGCCAGGAAGCTCAGGGAGGAGCAGGCCGCCGCCCCCAAGGCAAAGCCCGCTCTTCCCAAGGGATCACGGTGCTGGGACCGCCGCCGGGATGGCCTCGGCCCGGCGGCGGAACTTCAGAGAGGTTGGTGGATAGCGACGGACGCGTGCAGCGGTCGCTTCAACCCTTGCCAGTCCCTGACTGGCGCGGGGCCCCCGGCGGCCCCGCGCGGGCGCGCTCTGATCGACGCCGGCGTGGGCATCGTGCGCTGCAGGGCGAGCTCCTTACGGAGCTCGTGGTGGCGCTCAACCAGCTGGATGCTGGCTCGGACTTTGTCCGCAGACAGTGCGAGGGTGAGCCCAGCAGGATGCAGCAGCTACGCATGGAGCGACGCGCCGAGAGCTGCGCGGCGATGGGCGCTCCACCTTCCGACATGTCGACCGAGGTGGCCCTCCGGGAGCTCCAGGTCGGCACCGCCTACGGGGACTGCGACCCCGTCACGGCGGCCCCCTTCGTGCACGACCTCGTCTCCTTGCCGGCTGTCGGTGGCGCCCCGGCGCCGCTGGGCCAGCTGCTCGGGAAGGGCGGTCCAGAAATCGTGCGGAGGTTCATTGCTACCAAGGTTTTGTCAAATCAGGACGCCGGCGCGAGGACTACCTCACCTTCATCCGCCGGATGGGGGCTGCCAACACGCTGGACTTCAGGCTCGGCGGCGACGATTTCGAGGAGGTCGGGCTTTTCACAGTTTGGAAGAGGGACGGTCGCCAGCGGCTGGTGATCGACTGCAGGTGATTAAATTTGCATTTCGCAGAGCCTAACAAAACCGGCCTCGCGAGCGGGGCCAGCTTCAGTGCCATGGACCTGCAGGAGGGCGAGCAGTCGTGGACCGGAGGCGTGGACATCGCCGACGCCTTCTACAACATGGGCTTGCCGAGCGATTTACGACGTTACTTTGCTCTCCCTCGGTTGCGTGCGGGCGACCTCGGACTCAAGAGTGTCGAGGGCCAGTCCGTGCTGAGCCGAGCGTGGGTTCGGCCGTGCCTGGCGGTCTCGCCGATGGGATGGTCGCGCGCTCTCGATTTCTGCCAGAGAGTGCACCGGGCGATAGTGCTGGGAAAGGGGGACCTCTCCGAGACAGCTGAGATCGTCGACGGGCGCCCGCCAGCAGATGTGAGTGAGGGGGCTTTCGCGGCCTACGTGGACAATTTCGTTGCCTTCGGCACGGGGCCCGAGAGGCCTGCGGCTATGCTGGACGCGGCTCGGAAAGCCCTTGAGGGCGCGGGGCCCCCGGTGCACCCGACCGAGCCCCCCGCCACCGTCTCGGGGCAGTTGGGCTGGGTCTTCGACGGGGAGCGCGGGGCCTTGCGCCCCAAGAATCGCCGTGTCTGGAGATTGAGGCTGGGGCTTCTGGAACTCTTGAAGAAGGGGTACGCCACGGGCCGCCAGGTCGGGGAAGTCGCTGGACACTATGCCTTCATCGCCCTCGCTCAGAGGCCTATGCTTTCTGTCTTCAACGCTGTCTACAGTTTCTCCCGGAAGTATTTCTCGCGGGTCATGAAACTCCCGCCATCGGTTCGACGTGAACTTCAATGGGCTGCTGCTCTCCTCCCCCTTGCCTGGTCTGATCTGCGTGCACCGCGGGGCTCCATGGTGCACGCGAGCGACGCGAGCGAGGAGGGGGGAGGGGTCTGCCAGAAGGAGGTTGACGTCGATATCATCAGGGCTGCGGGTCGTGATGAGGAGAGGTGGAGGTTTCGTCATCCTGGAGTTTCTCGTCCTCGTGATTGTCTCGGCGGGCCCGGGGACCCCGTGGAGGAGCCGAAGATCGTAGAGGGCGAGAGGCGGAAGGTGCAGGAGGTATCGAGCGAGCTGTGCGGGGGCAGGTGGCAGGTGACATCGAGTGGGGGATGTGCCTGGGCCGAGAACATCCTCGTCCTGGAGGGCCGGGCCATCGTTCGTTCGGTTCGTCGCGCACTTCGAGATTCGAAGTCCTTTGGTCGGCGTTTCCTTTTACTTTCCGACAACATGGGGCTCGTATGTGCTTTGCAGAAGGGACGCTCCTCCGCCGGGGGGGGCCTTCGCGTCACTCGGCAATGGGCTGCCTGGTGCCTGGCAGCCAGCGTGCAGGCCCCTGTTCGCTGGATCCCGTCCGAGCGGAACGTCGCGGATGCGCCTTCGCGACGCCGCATCCCTCTCGGCGCGTGGCTCGACGGGCCCAAGGACGGTGATGAGCCGGACCTCGCCTGCTGGGGCGTCAGGGGCGGGAGCCGCCGCAGCCAGCTCGCGGACTGCGAGGCAGCGGGAGCAGAGCTCGACGAGTTGGCGGCCCGCGGCGCCGCCACCGGGCCCCTTCGGGGCGCCCGGCGGACCCCGAAGGCTGCAGGGTAAGCAGCCGGCCGACGGGAGCGCTCCGCCTCCGTCGGCGGCTCGCCGGCCACGCCACCTCGGGGCGGCTGCGGCCGCGGGGCGGCGCCTGGCCCGCGCGGCGCCGGCGCGGAGGGCTGCCCTCGCGGCGTGCCGGCGGGCGCGGGCTGCGCCCCTGGTCTTGAGGGCGACCTTGCTGCAGGGCGCCTCGGTGAGGTCGAAGACGGTTGCGCAGTACGTCCCGCTGTGGCAGGTCGCCCTCCAGACGTGGCCGGCGACTGCACTCGCGGTGGGCGCCGCCCGAGTGCTGCCCAAGGACGACATGGGCGGCCGCCTCGCGAGGTGGGCGGGCCGCGGGTTCCTCGCCGGTGAGCTCTCGCAGCGCGGGGCCGAGGCGATGGCCGCGGTGAGGTTCCTCAGGCCGCAGTCCAGCCGAACGGGCTACCAGTCGCTGCCGAAGGCGACGCAGGTCGTGTCGCTGTTCGAGCTGGAGCTGGCCGCCGCACGCTTCTGGGCGATGGCCGCCCGGGGGGTCAGCACATGCCACTGCTTCCACGGGCGCGGCGAGCTGGGGCAGGGAACGCCGGACATGATCATCGCGCCCACGCCAGGCATGCACGCGCGCGGCCGGGCCATCGATCTGCGCCCGTCCGTGGAGGAGGCAAGCATCAAGACGGGGAAGTTCGACGAGACCGTGGCGTTCGACCTCGCGGCGTTCGGCTTCCTCGACAGCGCGCCCGCGTTCCTCGAGGGCGCGCGCAGGTGCCAGAGGGAAGGCCACGGGGGGAAGCCGCTGCAGAGGCTGCCGGCTGCCGTCCGCGCACTGGCCAGCAGCCCGACGGCGGGCCGCCCGGCGGCCCTCGCGAGGCCTTTGCCTGCACCCTGGCTTGCAGAGGGGCCCGCCTAGTCCAGCCGCAGGTATTTCTAGAACTGTTTAGTGGGCATGGAGGCTTGTCTCATGCTCTGCGGGCACGAGGTTTTCTTGTGCTGGAGTGGGGCCGCGCGCGTGGGCCCCAGTGGGATTTGGCGAAGACGGCAAATCAAAAGCTGGTTAGAGGCTGGATATTGGCGGGGCTCGCGTGGGGCGTGTTCATGGGCACGCCGTGTCAGACTTGGACCAGGGCGCGGGGCACCGGGCCCCTTCGGGATCCTGACAACCCTCGGCCTTGCCTTCCATCTCGTCTCCGAAGTGGTCAGGAGTGAATGGGTTTGCGTGATCTCAGGCATCCACGCGTCCTGGAGGCAGAGAGAATAGGCAACCTGTTGGCCGCGTTCTGTTGTAGCATACTTGAGCTGATGCACTTCCTTGCTTTGCCTGTCGCCATTGAGAATCCAGCCCGCTCTCGCCTGTGGCTCCTTCCTCGTCTTTTGATGGCCAGAAGCTGGCCATCTTCCTCCTTCGTCATTGCAAATATGTGTCAATGGGGAACGGCCTGGAAAAAAACACTGGCGTTCTCGGTGATCGAATCGAGCCCACTAATCTGGCGTGTCGATGTGGTGGTAAGGTTTGCAGTCGTACAGGAAGACCTCACACGTCAACTCACGGGCTAGCTGCCGCGGGAGGCTTCAAGACCAAAGCCGCGGAGCGCTACCCGCCTCGTTTTTCAGTGCTCTCGCAACCGTTTTTGACCAGGCCCACGGGTGCTCCAAAACTGACCAGCTCGCTCCCCTTTTCACTTCTAAAGGGGCCCCTGTGTAGTCAACTCCTGGCACTGTGGCTTTGCTCTTCCCTTGCAGTATTTTGAAGTGTTTTTGTTTACGAGAGGGCCAACTGGAATGTTTGGAAAGGTTGCGTGTCTTGAGCCCTCGTCTCAGGCGTGATTGTGTCACTGGGTCTGGCTCATCCAGACCCAGTGTGAGTGTGGCCAGAGCCGGTGCTGCCACGCCGAAGCTCGCTCCGCCCTTTCGGCGCGGAGATAAACTGGCTTCAGCAGCGGGGGCGGCAGGCGCGGTCCCTACTTTGTTGATGATTGCCGAACGTCCAGAGTGCAGGAGGCCGCACGTCCGCTGCCATTTAGGCCCGTCAGTTTGCGCTCCCAGTCCCACCCACCCTCGTGCGTGTCTTGAGCCCTCGTCTCAGGCTTGATTGTGTCACTGGGTCTGGCTCATCCAGACCCAGTGTGAATGTGGCCAGAGCCGGCGCTGCCTTGCCGAAGCTCGCTCCGTCCTTGCGGCGCGGAGATACGCTGGCCTCAGCAGCGGGGGCGGCAGGCGCCCTCCTCCTCCTCCTCCTCCTCCTCCTCCTCCAATCGTGACCTTGGTTAGGTCCCGCGCCGCGCAGGATGGCAGCGTCGTTGCGCGGGTGGAGACGCAGAGGCGGCGGCTGAACCAGTGCCCGCCCGTTGCGCCCGAGGGCCGCGCTGCCTGCGATGCATGGCGCTTTCACGGACGGAAGCAAGATGTTGAATCGGTTTTGTATTTGGAGATAGCGTTCACTTGTTCTGGCAATAGATTTAGGAGTTCCTCAGCGTGGGGCGGCAGGGGCCCCAGTGACGTCGGTCGCGTGCGCGTGTGCTGCCATGTTGTTCTGCATCCATTCTCGAGAGGAACCCGGCAGCAGCGAGAGCACCTTCGAGAGCGCGGCCCTGAGAGCGCTCCAGGGGAGGTCCCCGAGCTCGGCCCCTGCGGAAGTAGATGGGGCACCGCTCGACGGCAGTCAGAAATCGAGGCGCGGGAAAATCAAGGACGACGCGTTGGAGGCGTGTGCGGCAGATAGGGTTTCACGTGGCCGCCGAAGGGGATCATCGGCAAGCGCTTCATGAGAGAGGTGGTTGCGAACCCAGAAAAGAAGAACAGCTACGACAAGATGAGCAGGAAGGCGGAGCAGCAGGAGCGCGATAACTGGGCCAAGCAGTCCTTCGCCAAGTACCAGGAGCGAACGTTACCGCCATCGCTCACCCCCCCTGCTCTTGGGCCAAGAGCAGAGGGGATGATGGCGATAGATGGCAACGCTCGTATTGGAGAAGAAGTCGAACATCACAGAGGGGTCGGAGCGGGAGACCATCCTCGGCGAGTGGTTGAACTACGAGCAGATTGTCGTTGCGCAAGGGGGTTGGGGTTTACCCGCAGCGCAGAGAGGTGCTATGAGCTTTTTAGTCGACGCCATCAGCAAAGGTGGCAGATGGATCAGGATGAATCCTCGTTCAAAGCGTCTGGAGTTCGAGTTCGTGCGCGAGACCGACGACGCCGCCATTGGCGCCGCGTGGCAACCAATGAGGGTAGAGTTCAACGACGAGCAGCGCATGCCGCAACCAAGTGGATCTGCAGCTGCACCAACTCCGACGCCAGCCTCGCCAGCTCCGACGCCAGCCTCGCCAGCTCCGACGCCAGCCCAGACGGAACGTCCGACGTCAGCTCAGACGACACCTCCGACGCCATCACCACCCGCACCAACGCCACATGCGACACCACCGACGCCAGTCGCGCCAACTGCGAAGCCGAAGGCGAAGGGGAAGGCCAAATGTAAGTCCAGGAACATAACGACTCAGACTCTCATTGCCGCGAGGGGCCTGAAGAAGCGCGCCAGCGATTGCATGGCGAATGGCTTTCCGCAGATCTCCCGGGCGAAGAACCTGCTGGAGCGCACGCGGACAGAGGCGATGGCTTCGTCGAGTACCCCGCAGCTCAACAAGAGGCTTGATGCGACCATCTCGAAGTCCGAGACCGACCTCCAGGGTGATGATGTTCAAGGATGCGATGACGGAGGGCAAATCTTTGGTCACCCCGACCGAGCTGAAAGACGTGAACAGGGCGTTGTCGCGGCGCGCAGACCACGAGGGGATTTTGGAGAAGCTCGCCAGGGCCGTCAAGCGCATCCACGACTTCGAGGAGTTCAGCGCGCAGCAGCTCTCGAGCCAGGAGTAATCCTGCATGTGCGTTCTTAGTTGTGGCGGCAGTGCGAACGCCACCCATTAATAGGATGGGGAGGTTGGAGATCAGTTGTGGACAGGCATGCCCAGGATGTGGTGGGGATGTTGGATGCTCTTGTGAGGCTTGTGCTGTGCTTGATCGTATGGGGTTGTGATGTAGTATCGGTCCTCTGCTGGCTCTGCCCCATCAGATTGGGTGAGATCGATAATGCGTGCCACTGCCCCGCGGGCCGCTCGCAATCTAGCTCCGTAGTAGATATGTGGCGCTTTTAACACGCCTGCCTTTTACATCAGCTCGGCAAGAGGCTGGTGATCGTCGTTGGGGTGCCTCGTACGCTGCTGATTGATGCGTCTGAGGAGGCCTCGCTCCCAGGAGTTGGTCCGAGAGGCTCGTCGCTCAGAACATGTTGGGGTCGTCTCTTCCAGGATGGCGCCCATCTCACACTTGGCGATTCGGTGCCACGATATTTGAGGTTTGCCGTCGGTCATAATGAACTGCAGGCGTGGTGCAACGGTTTCATGCGCAAAGTGCCTGTCCAGTTTGCGGTAAATTTCCAGTCAGTTTACAGTCAGTATTCAGAAATGGCGAATGCATAGAGGATTCGCCGGTAAGTTTCCGGGTTGTTTCCGGTAAGTTCCCGGTAAGCTTCCAGTCAGTTTGGCTTGGTTTCGGCACTCTCGAGTTGTATGTTTTTTGTGTGTGGACGTGTGTTGTGATAGTTTCTCCCCTGCTTCCACGCTCGGAGATAGCGCGAGCGCGCTGCGCACCAAAATCCTGAAACCTCCTGGGATCTGTCCTCCTCCTGCCACGTTCTTACACCTCCCCGTCCCAGATGTCACTATCGCTGGACTGATAGGGGAGGGAGCTGAGGGAGTAGGAGGAACTGAGGATGGAGCAGGATGTCACTGCGGAGGTTTGCGTGACGGGCTAGAGGGATGGAAGGGGCAGGGAGAGAAGTGGGAAGGAGGACGGGGCACATGAAATCGATGTGACATGCTACGAAACTGATCGAGAGGGGCATGGGATGGAGGGAGGGCCGGGTTGCGAAGATGACGACAGGGGGGCGCGGGCCAGGAGGGAGGGATCGGCGACGAGACTGAGGGAAGGATGGACGGAACTAGCAAATTGGGGTGCTCTCTCGCCCCGTGCTTTCTCGCCCCGTGCTGCCCCATCTCCGCCCGCGCCGCGCCCACAGGCGCGCCCTCGCGCCCTCGCGCCGCCCCGCGCGTTGCAGCTCCTTTCGGTTTGATAATATCGCGGTCGAACCACCCCCCCTCAATGGGGAGATCATGCCGGGCGGGGCGCTGCACCGAGGGTGGATTATCCACTCCCTGGCCCCAACCCCGCCGAACGCTTGCCCCTTGAACCCACCATCGCGCAACATATGACCAAGGGGGGGTGACATGGAAACGCCGATGGGTCTCATTGTTATCGACACCGTGTCAAAACGCGAGCACAATATCATAACCAGCACCGTCGCGAAATAACAGACAGATCAACTCACCGCATCGTCACCCACATTCGTCGTCATTGGCACGGTTATGTCACGGTCAACAATCGCCACCATCATCATCATCATCATCACCACCGTTGCTTACAGCCTGCCGTTGTGGCACAATGCGTTTGTGAATCCACTGTCCACATGGCGCGACGCCGACAGGCGTCGCGGGATCCATCCCAGCGACCTTCCGAGATATTCAGCTGGGAAGAGTCAGAATGGCGAGGTCAAGACGACGCCAATGCTCGCGTTCGCGAGGAGCGAGGTGCTGAATTCGCTGACCATGGGCACGATGGCGGCAAAGAGCATGCGCATCACTTGCTGGCTGGCCGTGCAGTCTGGTTCGTCAGGGGCCGATCTGAAGAGGCTTGCG